AAACACCTTGCCAAAATGCCTGCCTGTCACACCTCCGAACAGCAGAAATGGCTGCTCTAGCTGATGACAGTCGGGTGCGTTCCCCAGGCCCCAGCTGCTGCTGCCACAGCCGTGGGCAGACAAACGTCACCATCCCCTCCAATGCAAGACCCCTTTTGTAGCCTGGGGCTCTTCCCCGTTGTGCTTCAGCCATCTTTGTCATCTCACATCGTTATGACATGTTTTCTGGAGTCCCTTAGATGAACCCGGTGAACCCCTACCTCGTTCTTGCTGCTTGCGGTTTTCAATGATGCCCGGTGTGTCCACAAAGGTGACTCGCTCCAGCAGTTTGTGGGGCACCTCGATCCCTATCAGCTTCTCCAAGAAGTTCTGTCCAAACTTCTCCAGGGGCGAGAAGGAGCGGGCGCTGTCAGCAGCCATCACGATGCCCTCGATGGTCTTCAGCTTGGGGCCATGCATGATGACAGTGAATTCGGAGGTGGTGGGTTCTGCCCCTGCCCAGCAACGAGAGGAGCAGCAGAGCTGTGAAATCCATGCTGGGCAATGGACATGACAGGGCTGGCCTGGGACCAGCCAGGGAGCTCAGGAGTATCACTCGCTTGCCAAGAGATGTTGGGGCAAGGCAAGCAGTGGGGCCATGAAATTCTTGCTAAACCTCTTGAGAACATGCTAGCAGGGCTGTTTTCTGTGGAGGCTGGTTATTCTGGAAGTGGCCTGACTGCACAAGGTGCCCTGGAGAACCACCTCCTGCGAGCCCTCACTACCCCGGCGCAGAGCTGACCAGGGACATCTGCCCTCAGCTGTGAGATGACATCCGTGGGAGCAGGGAGGAGGGAAGGGTGATGGCTGTTTTCCTGGGAGGGTGAATTAATTGGCTCCACGTGTGGAGGGAAGGGGAGAGGACAAGGGCGAGTTGCCCTTGCGACGTGACCGCTGCTCTCGCGGTCCGGGTCAGAGGCGGTGAGCCCCGTGCTGCGGGATGGGGATGCTGCCGGAGGAGATGCCCTCCTCCTCCCCAGGGAGGGTGGACAGGCCCTAGGCCGCGGTGGGGAACCTCTCCCTCCATGTGCCACTGCAGCCGCGCGGCATGGACCCCGATCGCAACCTCCCTGCCGTGAGGGGGTGGGGATCACAGAGGTGCAGGCAGGAATCGCTGACCGCGCGGATGCAGAAATGCAGGTGCCAGCGCACCCTCGGCAGAGCAGGGAGGGAGCAGTGAGCGTGGTACCTGTGTAGAGCTGGTAGGGAGTGTCGTCCAGACCGAGGAGGTAGTTTATCATGGAGGATTTGCCAACACTCCACGGTCCCAGGAATAGCACCATTGGCTTGGAAGTGATCTCCCCATCTGCCGAGAGGGGAAATAACAAGAGGAAGTGAAGAAACAATAGCCGTCGCCACCGCGTGATTAACTCCCGGCTGTAACGAGCATCCCATCTGAGCGGTGCGGTGATGCTGCCGGGGAAACAGCCGCTCTTTTGGGGCCGCCAGCCATTTGCGAGCCAAGGCATCGCCCAGTGACGGGCCCTGGTATCTGCAAGAGCGGGACGTCACCATGCTCTGCAGGAGACCCCACCTCGCTGCAGCAAGAGCAAACCTTGTCTGACCTTCCCTGAGGTTTGGTCTTTCTTAGGCTACGGGAGGACTTGAAGGTCTTTTAAACCTTGTCTCAGTTCGGTTCTGGTTTAGCCGAGGTGAGTTTGGGGCTGGCTGCGGGGGGAGTGTTGTTTGAAGGCAGCCGCCACAAAGCACGGGACATGCGAAGGAGGTGGCCATGCTGCAACCAGGCGAATGCCTCGTGCAAAGGGAGCTGGCGTGGTTTAAGGAGCAACACTGTGGCGCGGTGCTTGGTAAGCGCGGTGCGAGCCTTGGGCCGGCTGCCTTCGTTGCATTTCCACCGTACCCTCACAGGGATCTGCCCCCAGGTCGTGGCTCCCAGCCCTCCGGTCGAGCAGAGGGTCCCTGCCTACGTGTGGGCTGGGTGCGAGGCTCCAGCCTGGCACGGGGAGGGCAGGCTGGGCAAACAGCCCCGCTTTGGGCTTGGGGGAAGGCAGGAGGAGAATGAACTACAGTCCCCGTCCCGCACTCTTCAAGTCCTGTGGTTTGCTAAGGGGCTCAAGGAGGCTGGTGATGGACCCGTAAGGACCTGTCCTGACGCCGCGCAATTGGTCTGGGAGCTCAGAGGTCCCTGGACACATGTAGCCACTGTCCCAGCAGCAATCCCTGCTCAAGCGGGACTTGTGCAATCAGCCTGTGCCCACACTGCTTAACCCCACCAGCCCCCAGGCCACTGGGTAGGCAGCCATCAGAGCCAGAGGAGCCCCTGGCCCACGCCAGCCCCCAAGCCGTGCCCAGGACAGCTGGGAGCCTGCTGGTCGGCTCGAGCCCAGGTCAGGCCAGAAATGGAAGTAAAAACTCAATGAGTGCGTTCCTGTTGGTGGGAAGTTTCCCCGTCCCCGTTCGTGTACCAGCACTGATGCAGCCAGACGAAGCTGGGCAGGAAACGGTGCCGGGAGAGCCGTGGTGGCAGATGGCTGAGAGCAGAGCAAGCTGCAGCCACCCTGCCACGGCATCAACCCAGCACAGCCCCCGGGGCATCTGCTCCAGGCGGGGACTTGCCCGGCAGCAAGGGCTCGCTCGCTTCCCCTCGCCCCCGTCCTGCGCTCAGGGTGGGAGAGGGTCCGTCCTGCCGTTGCCAGTAGGAGTCCAGCCAGGGCAGGGGCTGGATGCCACCGGAGGAGCTGGGAGCTGCTGTCCCTCAGCCAGAGCAGAGCCTTCCGCCGTGGCCCAGGGCAAGGAGATGCCCTTGAGGGACGCCCGCTGCCCTCGGCACCCTCCCTTTGGCCCCACTCCTAAGGCAGAGCTATTTTCCCTGCGGTGGCTGAGAGACCCTGCTGCTCTGTGGCTGCGCCCACGCAGGAGCCAGCAGCTTTCCAGCAAGCCGGGAATCCATCTCCAGGGTGGGGTGAGCTGCAAAGCCTATATGGCACTGAGCTCCTGAGGGTGCTGGAGGGCACTGCCTGGCGGCTCCACACGGAACCCGTCTGTCTGATCATGGATGCAGGAGTTGGGCAGAGCATGCCAGCCTCCTCCTGCCTGCATCTGCCCATCGCAGGGCCACCATGTCACCGCTGGGGAAGGGAATGGGCTGGGGACACCTCTCCACGGGGCACAGCTGCGTCCATGCGGTTCAACCCTTCTCCCCAAAGCAGGGCAGCCACATCCGAACTGGGGGACGGCCCTGCCCGCTGCCCGCTCCCTGCCCGCTGCCCGCTCCCTGCCTGCGAGCCGCAGGGATCCAACGTTGTCTTCTCATGCAGGACAAAAACAAATGTTGAAACCTCGGACTTTCGTTATTAATCATTCCTCTGTGCCACTCTATTGCTGCTGCTCTGTTGACTTGCCGGCTTTAATTGAGTTTCGGATTATTATTATTATCCCCTGTGATGTTGTGCCAGAGGTTTGAGGCGGGTCCCCGCATGCTCTTCCGTAACACGTTCCTGGCCAGGCGTGGCTGTGTGAATGCAGGCAGCCCGTGCGCCCTGGCTCCGCTTCACATCCCCACCTCTGCCCCACTGCGCCGGGGCGGGCAGTGATGCAGGCAGCCCCCCTGCCGGGTCACCGACAGCTTGTCGAGCCCATCCTTACCCCTCGCTTTGGGAACGGGGTGCTGGCACCCCACGGGCTTTGCAGGCAGCTCCGGGCACAGGATCCTTGCAGCTCTCCAGGTAGCACAGCAGCTCTGAGGATGTGAGGCCGTGCGTGGGTCCTCCTTGCTGCTGCCCAGGGCGCGGGGCTGGGGGAGCAGAGAGCACGTCCCACCCAGGAGGGTGCTGGCCTGACATCTGTCCCTGCTACGTCCCCCCCCTGTGTCTGTTCAGCACTGATTTCGGTCACCTTGATGGTCCGGCCAGGGGAAAAGAGAGCCGGTCCTTGCCGGCTGCAGGGCAGGGATGGCGGCAGCTCCATCACACCACCCCCCCCTGCCTCAAGCCCAGCTCAAGCTCATCCCGGCTCAAGCCAGGCACGTCCCGGTGGCGTTCGCGGAAGCGGTCGCATGCTGGTGCCTGATCAGGCCCTGCCTGCGAGCAGGGGGGCGGTCCTCAAACCTTGCACCCCTTCATCTGTGGTCCTGCTTAAAACACAGCAGCTCAAAACACAGCTTCTCTAAGCTGCTGGGTTTGCAGGGTAAAGAGCATGCTGTGATCCGGCAAAGCACCTGGCAACCGAGGCCAGGAAAGCTATGTCTCCCTCCACAGAGCCTGCATTTGTCTTGGACTGTTCAGCTCGGGGGGTAGGAGCAATCTGGATGCCCAAAAAGGTTTTTTTTTTTCCTAGAGCAGTGGCTTTCTGGGAGGTTTTTCCATGTTGCTTGCAGCACCAGGCTGCCCTTGGGTGGGAGCACTGCTGCTCTGGGGCTGGGATTAACCCTGGGCCAGGTCTTCTCCCTCCTTGTCGTCAAGCCCAGCAGAAGTGCCTGATGTCGGCTCACCCCCCGTTGTGCAAGTCTGTCCCGAGGATGCTAGGCAAAGTGGAGGACGCGGCAAAACCTCCTTCCTCTCCTTGTTCAGACTGAACCGTGAGCACGAAGATCTTGCTCTGTCCCCAAACAACCCCGGAAGGCAAAAACACCTGGGGAGGCTCTCCCAGCATCGCCCACGCTGCCACCCCATCCCTGTACCCGAAACACCACCGGCCACTCTGCCTATGGCATGGATGCACTGCCCGGCAGCCCTTGGAGGGCTGGCCAGCTTGCTCGCGAAAAGCCACGAGTATCCTCACGGCACATGTGCCCGCAGATGGAGGGACAAGCCACACGTGGCTGCAGACGGCCCGCGCCTGCCTCCACGTCGTGCTCCCCGTGCGCATACGCCCACACAAGCAGCACGCGTGCACGCGTGTGTGCGCTTGCAGCTAGAGATGTAGATAAGACAGCTATTGAAATATGCTATATATATCTGCAACCCTCTCCGCTGCCAGCACGCTGGCATGACAGGGAGCCAGAGGCCCTCCAGGCACTGGCAGGGCTCCGCCGCGTCCAGGGCCGGGGTGTGGAGGAGCCCATTTCAACAGGAGCCGGCGGCAGGGGCCATGGGGTAGGACATGAGGACCAGAAGATGGGATTTCCCTGCCTCATATCGCAACAGGGACATTGTCCCCGTGGCCCAGCACCGGACCCAGGGGAAGGGCTGGGTGTTGGCTGGCGCTTCTTGGCCCATCTCCCATCTCCTCCTTCTCCGGGGGGGGACCTGGCAGCACACCCCGAGCAGGATAGGCAGGGAGAGGAGCCAGCTCTGGCTCCCGAGGGGGCTGGGGCCGCCGCGCAGGGGCCAGCCTGTGTTACTGGGACAGCTGCTGCGGGCTCATCGGCTTAAACTGCAGCCAGGGGGATCAAGGGTGGATATTTGGGACAGTTTCTGCACATAGGAGGGTGAAGGGTGGGAAGAGCTCCCCTGCAGGGTGGGCTATCTGCTGGGCTCCTCTGGTTCATGCCGTGGGTGGGAGATCAACCCGCAGGTCCACCACAAACGCCTTTGAACCATCGCTAGAGGAATACGCAACCTCTTGAGTCTTAACCCAAGAGGGAAAGATGTCGAAGCCTGGGTGAGGTGGGGATGCACAGAGTCAGGCCTGGGACAGACAAGTGCAGCGACACACGTGCCGAGCTCTGGTAGGGCTGGGGACACCGGCTCCAGCGGGTGCCATAGGGGTCTGCTCGGTGCCTGGGAAGTGTGGCCCTGTTGGGGCAGGTGAATAGGAAAGCTGGAGGCCAGCGAAGAGCTTAGGCAGTGCTGGCAGCATGCAGGTAGCAGGCAGCGATACCAACCTGTGGCAGAGGAGCCCAGGGTGCGTCCGGGGTAAGCTGTTAGCAGGGGACACGGGGAGAGAGAAAAGGTACCGTGAGTCGAAGGAGGGACACGGCTGCCTGGGTCTGGCCCAGGCTGAAGAGGGAGCTGAAGACTGGCCCTGGCATTCTCCTGGGCTGGAAAAGCCAGCGACGGCCACATTCCCAGCAGGAGAGAAGGAGTTACAGTCTGTGAGCAACGAGACCTGCAGCTACCAGGACAAGCACTAAACCCCAGTCTGCCCTGCACACCAGGGCTGTGGCTTGGGGGAGCAGCCCCAGGAGAGCTGCCGTGTCTGAGACAGCACCCCAACCCTCCTGCCCTGCTTAGCGGAGTTATTGCCTTCCCCAGCAACATTCACCTAGCAAACGGAGCCCAACAAGCCGTGGTTAGGACAGCAACCAACCCCGACAAGTGTCCTGACCACCCCAGTGCTGTGGTTACCCGTATCCAGCCCTAGGGTGGCTGGTGATGGCAACTGGGAGGTCATTCCCTATACAGGCATGCTAATCAGCACATATACAGTAATTAAGGCCACCAGCATGCACCACAAACTGGCATGACTTCACAGCAAGCTTCCCACCACCAGACTGGGAGAGTCACCCCTGAGCTAGGGACAGTCCCTACAGGGTGGCCCCGCTGTGACCAAGCACACAGGCGGACCCAGCCGGAGCGTGCACGCACCCACGTGGGATGGCAGAGCGGAGACGAGGGAGGGTGGCAGGCAGGGAAAAGGAGATGGCACCTGCCAGGCTTAAACACGCTGTAAGCAGAGGGTGTGGGGTGAGTTTTCTGGGATGCACCCCAACAATTCAGAGTCTTATGTTGACGGTGGCAGTCGCAGCTTCCCCGGGACAGGTGACACTCATCTACACGGGTGTTTTTGTGAGCTGTGGGGAGCAGTGAGGCTCCTTGGATTACACTGGCTGGTGGGGGCAAGCGGAGCCGATGGGAAGGAAGACAAAATGGAGGGCTGCCGCGTAATGGAGGGGCGAAGGTGCTTGCGACGGCACCCCTCTATATTGGCTTACACCTCCAAAGGTCACACATATTCCGTGACAGGCCTGCCCTGCCGCTCTCCCAGCTGTCCCGCTCCTCCCAGCCAGCTGAGCCGGCAGCTCTGCGCCCTCCAGCCTCCCCCCTGCCATGGGGGTGGGCACAGGGGGAGAGGTTGGGGGCATCTCCCAGCTTGCAGAGGCACTGCCGATGTGATGAACCCGCTCAGGACAGGGCCACCATGCAGAGGAAACGGCTGAGAAGGCTCCCTCAGCCCCACCATATCCTCACCTGCCTTGTAAAGTCAAGGGGGCTCCCTGGGCCAACCCTCTAACTAATTAGCAGGTTTCTCTAATTACACTGCTAATGAGGGACTGGGAATAGCTGGATCTGTGGGTATTAAAGGCAAACTGCTGGGCTTCAGATCTCCAGGTTGAGGTTGTATGTGTTAGGGTGTGGCTGGGGTGTCAGAGGTGCTCAAGGAGTTTGGTAGCAGGAGAAACATCTCTGATGGGAGTCTGGCCAGGGCCTCTCGCGGCTGAGACAAGGGCTGCAGGCAGCTCAGCGTCCATGTGCCCTTCCCTGGTCTGTAAGGTGTGTATCGGGAAGCTGAGACCATGGGTTACCAGCTCTGGGATTGCATCTGCGCTGCTGGGAGGGTGCCATGTGGGACACAACAGGGTGTGCTGGGCACTTGTGCTGGGAGCTGACCTGGGGTTTGCCCAAATGAATGTGGGACCCACGTGCTGGTGGAGCAGAGGAGTCCAGCTGCAAAGGGAAGGTCTGTGTGGCAAGGAGGGTGTATCTGGGTCCTGTCTCATCAGGAAGGAGGGCATGGCTCTAGGTGTGTGAGGCCAAAGCCCAGAGGACACCTGGGGAAACAGGCAGAACTTCAGGACAAGGAGGGACCCTGGCAGGGTGCTGCTGTGGGCATTCAGCCCTGGGACACAGGCAGCAGGGACTCTGGCATCCCCTGCCTGCCCAGGCATCTGGCCCCAGCTCAGGACAGGGCTTGAGTAGGGGCTCACAGGTGAGTTACCCTGGTGAACAGGGACCTCAGACTTGGGCTTGAGCCATCTGTGCTTGGAAAATGGGTCTGCTGGCGTCATATGGGTCACAAGAGCTTCCTGTAGATTGTGAGCATCTTGGGGCCAGGGCTGCACTTTCCTCTTCTGGAGGGACACGTGTACTGCTCACGAGGTTCAGCTCAAGCCAATGCCTGTGGCCACGGGGACCTGCTCACCTGATCCAACGTGTCTGTAATTGCCAAGGGGTGGAAACTCTAACTCCCAGGATGAGTGAAGGCTGCTGAGCTTGAGGGATACCCTGCCCACATGGCTGTGTCCTGTACTGAGCAGGAAGGATGCCAGCTCCAGCCACCCCCAGGAAGCTCATACCCAGCCTTGAGAGGTCCTAAGCGTCCTTGCCAAGCCTGTTTTGTTGGGCCGTGATCTCTGCTTGGCAGGGGTACAGGGCATTGATGTTGAGCAGGTGGAGGACCTGAAGCAGGCAGGGTTCAATGCTCAGCCTACACAGATGGTCCTGACAGCAGATGGGCTAAGGCAGATGCA